TGAAACAGAGAGGAATAAAGTGTGTACAAGTGTACAAGGAATAAAAATATGTGCAAACAGGCTGAATTCAGCTTTAATTACAGGCAGTTACAGTGTTCACTTACAATTACTACACCTGAACCTATTTACAACAGATGCAGATGTGCAGCACTGTGCTTTAGTGCCTCAATTTATTAAGCATAGGAGCAGCATAAAAGAATGGTTATTAATCCTTTCTTTTACTGTCTTCCCTTGCACATACATCCAAACTCTTAATGTTTCAATGTACTACAGAAGAATAGGATAAAAACTTCAACTTCATTGACCGTTAAAGGAAACAAACCTGCTTTACTCTTGTGGCAGCTGACAAGATTCCTGTAAAAAAACAGTCTTCTAGTAACAAATGGTTCTGAACACATTATTTTATTTGAGGTGCTAAATGAAGCCCATATTTCAATGGGACAGAACTCAAAGCTTTTTGCAAACGGAGTCTTCTTCAAGTTATTGCAGTTTGAGGCATTTAGGACAAAGACATCTAGAGGAAAATTGTCAGTTACCTTGAAAATTCACAATCTTTATTTCAGACAGTCATTTTAGGGTTCCCACACAAATAGCACGAAAGGCATTCACAGATGAACCACTTTCCTGTTACAATTCATAGGATTTTTACCAAGTTATATCTTTTAAATTATATTAATGCTTTCTAAACTTAAGGTACAGATTAAATTAAAAAAAAAAAAAAAAAACCTCTCCATCTGTGAAAAGTAAACATACACTTTTCCTTGAATAAATCTTCCCTCACAAAAGAGGTCTGGGCAACATTAGCACGGGTTCATTTGGCTAAATGTTATACAAATGATCTGATTTTGTCAGGACTTTAATGGAAATAAAGTCCGTAACTCCACAGCAGTCTGAGCCACACTAACGCAAGCTGCTCTCCCTCTGTGCATCACACATTTTCTGCAACAGATCCAGCAGTTTTCTGACCCCGCACTGAGTTGTTTCAGCGTGCTGGCCCAGAAGACCAACCCAATGAAAGCAGAACAGAAATGAACAGCTTTCTGCCAGTTTTAATGCGTTGAAATGGCTCAGATGGGAAGCAATGGAGTGCTGAACCACAACAGGCAACTTAGACCAGCCCAGGGCGGAGACACAGCTAGAGTGACAGGGATGGCACAGCTAAAGAAAGGGAAAGAAAACAGAAATATATAGAACTGTGGATCACACTTTTCTTGTGTCAATTGCATCCTGTGTACAGGTGCCCATTTCTTTGTCCTCCTTTTGGCAGCACCATCACCCGTTTGTCCCCATGACTGTGCAGTTCAGGGAACTGAGCTTGAGCTGCAAAAGTCAAGTTCAAATTTGACACACATACAATTCACACACCCGTATCTTTTGGTTCAGTTTTCTGCAGCGGCCCATCTTGGGTTCATGCAGACGAGACCCACGCTGACATCAGTGAAGCAGCAGACCCAAGCACAGAGATTGGGATGACTTTTTTTGATAGGAGATCACAAATAAATTGCCTTTGATGCAGCATCAAAACACACCTCAGAGCATGGTCACACATTCAGCACTATTTCCCTCCTCTGTTCAGCTGGACCTTCTATGAGCTACGATACAGCGAGCAGCAAATACCAGAGGAAGCTGACAGCTATTTTTGCACAGTGTGGAGAAGGGGTCTTTTTCATCTCTTTGCTACACACAGCTCGAGCAAGATGATGGCCTCTGGAAGAATCCCATACTTATTGTGTTTCCACAACACAAAACTTTAATGTAGACACATTTTTAAGAGCTTTTGGGAAGCTTAGTAACCATGTTGAATGCCTTATACCACTCATCCCATTCTAACTACCAGGAAAAAAATCTATCAGCAGGAAGAGGGAGGGAACCTTCCATGTGTAAAAGTCCACTTTTCCCTGCAATTCTCAGAAGGTGGCTGATTTTTACATACAGCTGGTTACAACTTCACACAGTGAACACTCTGTACGAATCCAGGACTCTGAACGGACAAAAACTTAATTTTTGCACCAAGGTCCCCATGAAATAGCATAAAGGAAAGAGACAGTATTGCTCATGAAAATGTGGTAAGTGGCCTCCATAGGGGACACTTGCCCACAAGAAAAGAACATCATTACACACCAGGGAGAAGGTTGGAAACTTCCTCTGCTGCTCTCAGGGAGTCTCCATTCTGAAACTCCTTCAATTCTTTTCTCCCAATTTCAAAAAAAAAATCAACTCTTGCTTGAGCAAGTTGCACTCAGCAGAAATACTTAACTTGCCCCTCCAGGCATATAGCAGTTAACGGCACATATCTCTCAGACACTAAGCATATACTAAGCATATGTCAGTACTAAGCATACTTATTTCTCCTGTCAGCTTGGACGAAATTGGGACCTCGTACTTGTAAATGGTAAAACAAGCTTCGTTAAGCCCCCTGTGTAGTGGACACTCTCTTTACATGAGCATTAACACCAGAAAAAAAAAATACATACAAAACACACCCCAATTAGAGCCCTCATACAAAGTGCTGCATAAGCACTATGAGAGAGTGGTGCCCACCCTGCGAAACACATTTGATAGTTTCAAACACCAGAATCAATAAATGCCTCGACTTGGACCTCCCAAACCCTCCGCGTTACGTGTGATCAGTCACCAACACACAAGGGATCGTGCACAGCTGTAGTTGTACCTCTGAGGAGCAGTTTTTGTTGCAAACACCAAGAAAAAGCTAACATGAAAGATACAGCAAGTATGACACTGGTATTTTCTTACATGGTAAATAAAGACTTCCAATTTTTCTGTGCTCCCGCTGAGCACAGAAAACTCAACTCTAGACAGCTCTTTGGCTCTTGAGATCATGCAGTCACTTGGAGACTCAAAAATAAACTGTCTTGGCTTTGCCTAGTCAAGAAGAAACTGAAGGCTAGTGAAGCCCACAGGAGATCATGACTTGAGTTTTTAAAGCTGGTAGACCATGAGACACAAGTTTTTTTAGGATTAACTCTTAAAAAAACTGATCTTGCATTCTGCACCCATTCCAAGAACGGGATCTTCCATTTGAAGAGCACAGAGAAGAGCTCGGCCCCGCTCCGGACAACCTCCCAAGCAGGGCTGTGGCAGCGCTGGGCTGCCTCGCTGCCCATCACGCCCCACGCTCTGTTCTGCTTTCGGCACCACGTCACCCACCAGAGCCTCGTGGGGCCCGCAGGGGCAGAGAGCTCCAGAGGAGGAAGCGGCACCAGGCGGATAGGGCTGAGGATGTGACACCCTCCAGCAGGCACCAGATGTCACCACATCCCAAGGGCCCGCTAAGGAAAGAGACGTCGACAGAGCAGGTAACCAGGAGAAAAAGCGGCTTCTGGCCACCTGCCCTCTGCTGCAGCGGGAATGAGCCCTGCAAAAGCAGCTCTGGGACCCAGAGGGCTTCCCCTCAAACGGCTTCATGAAAGCATTTATGGGAGCAAAAGGCCTGAACTGGTGAGCTAGGGCAGTGCCCCCCAACCTCTCCATCTCAGACCGAGTCCTGCTGCCACCCTCCCCTTCCTCGCATCCCACCCAGCACCCCTCCTTCCCAGGCAGGCACCGCCGCCCTAGGCTCCCGCCACACGGATCCTACCACACGGATCCCGCCACGCAGATCCTGCTGCACGGATCCGGCTCCGCGCGGCCGCCGCTGGAGCTGATGCTCTTCGTCACCCCTTCGTCACACACACTGCAAACCAGCGGCAGCCGCCGCGGAGGCTTCCAGACCTGCTCGGTGCGAGGGCACCGCAGCCGAGCCCCCGCTGTGCTCCGCTCCCTCTCCCGCCGCCCAGCACCGCCGCTCTCCGCTAACCCTCTCCGTGCCGGACACAGGCGCCCAGGTGCTCCCGCTTCAGCACTCGGCACCAGGAACGCTCAGCGCTTCCTTAGGGACAATGAATCTAAAGGGACTGAGAATCCTTCGATTCCTTTAGATTTGGGTTGTGGTATTTGTACCTCCAGCTACCACTGGCGAGGTCCTGGCTTGGTTCCCCACCCTGCGAATGGAAACTCTGGCAAAAGCAAGATTTGCCCACTGATCGTGACCCAGTCTGCTGCCAAAGCGAACACCCTGCAAACGTCAGCAGCCATTTAGAAGAACAGGAGGAGTGTCCTGAATAAATCAATTAAGTTCTTTTTCTCTCTTTCTTTCCAGATTGCAATGACAACCTCTACAAGCAACACGTGCTGTCCTTTGCCAAGGGGCAGACCAGTTCCAGCCCCGAATTCCAATCCACATTCAGGCCTTTCTCGCGCCCAGGGCTTCCCTCCCTCTTCCCCATCCGCTCCCTCTGCCAGGGGCAGCACTGCCAGCGCCGCAGGGCTCTGCATCCCTGTCTGGCCACACCAAGCGAAACGCCAGCTACTCGGCCCATCCATCCGTCTTTCTCACAGTGCCCACAAGCCCTGCTGTTGCTCCGGGGTCCTCATGCAACAGGCAAAGAACAAGAAAATTAAGGAAAAAGGAAGGCATGAGAGTGGGAAGAGCCCCTGTCTGAACAGGGAGCTCTTCAGCAACTCGCTGCTTCCTTGGAATACAGCAGGAGAGACCATGGGCGAAGCAGGGATCAGAAACAGGGAGCAAAAGGCAGAGATGGACAGACAGACACGCAGGGGCCGTGCCAGAGGGCTGCCGATGGAGAGGGGGGCGGCCGGCGCCAGGCTTGGGGATGCTTCCCCAGCCAAACCCCGCTTCCTATCTTTTTTGTTTAATCTCCTTCCAAAACAAGAATAGAAACAGTTGCGAGTCGGAAACCACCACAACAAATCTGGATTTCGGGCTTAACTCAAACCGTGGGCACGCAGAGCCCGGCCTACGGGGCAGCAACGCCGGGAGCCTTCGGGAAGCCTGGAGCGGAGCCGGGAGTGTCTCCCCGGCGGGCGCAGACACGCGGCGCGGGGCACGAGCGGCCTTTGACACCCCGATGGGAGCGAGAAACGCTTGAAACGGCCACGGGGAGCGGGAGGCGAGGGGAAGGCCGGGAAGCAGCCGGTACCTTTGAGCAGGGGCTGGAAGGTCGGGATCTCCTGCAGCTTGATGACATCGGGATCGTTGCTCACGGTGCGGCAGGGCTGCGTCCCCGGCGCCACCACCACGATGTCGTCCATCTTCGCGCGCTGCCGGGCGGGCGAGGGAGACGCTGCGGGGAAGACAAGCGAGAACAAAACACAACCGGGCGGTTCACTCGAGGAGAGCCGCTCGGGACGCGAGCCGCGCGGGGCC